ACTACACAGCGCAACAACCCAGAAGACAGAAATCTTCATACTCACCGCTGTGAAAACCTCAAATCTTACAAATGAAACAATGCTGAGCTTTTGGATGTCTCCTGGAACTAAAGTAACTTAACTTTTGGGAAATGTTGGCAAAAGATGGGCGATGTGAAAGGAATAATTACTGAAAATGCATCAAGAAGACTAACCATTGTGCATATTGATTCGATAAATAGTTCACATCCAGATGACCTTCTTATTTACAAAGCTGGCAGAACAAGTGGCGACCTTCATGGAGAAACCGACGTCTGAAAGAGTGATTCATAATTTACCACCTGCTTCTGTGATTGTAACCGGCAATGCCCCATATCACTCTAAGACAGGAAGACAAATTAGCTGTTGTATCGAAATGAGGAAAATTAGGTTTGTGGAAGTGGTTGAAGCCCATAGACCAAAAGATACATTTTTCAGGGTGGACCAGATGTAACAGCATGATCATGAAGTCGTTCGTTTACATCCCAACATTTGAGAATAAAATGCTACCGAACTGGATTGGTCGGAAGTCAAACGCGTCATTCGTGATAACAACATAGCCAGTGGAGATTTCTCTGCAGGCCTTGCAGTTGCTAACAACTGAGGCTATCAGTTCTGTTACACAGTCAGAGTGAAAAGGGTATGTAGGCATATTGCAAAAGCAGAACACGACTGGGGAAAGGACTTCATCATGGGGAAAATTGTCGACAAATACATTATTAGTACAAGAGAGCCAAGTCTCTGAGAGAGTTGCAGCGCTATTAATGATTCGATCAAATTCAATTCTTTACTTACACGTGCTAACTCAACAGTTACAGTAACCAATTACAGAATCAGAACAAAGGAATAAAATTAATACAAGAACAAGAATACAAACATGCATGAATGAACATGAAGAAACGTATTAATTGGCATATTATTCAATCCAATTTTTATATTCAATTCCTTTATAAAGGTGTTTGCCAGCAACACATAGAGCCTTTTAGAGGCAGACACGGGCAGAAATATACTACAGTAAATACTAATGATAATGACATTATTAATATAGGCGATAACAGCGACGAAGAAGAGGAATTTGATAATTTAGAGGGCAATAATACAAAAAAGGAAAGGGGACAAATTTCCAAGCACGCCCGTATCCTCGTAACGGTTTCACGTTAAATGTGGTTACCGCCGAGATTTTCCCACCCCCGCCCAAAATTAAAATTTATATACTTATAGTGGACCCTTACGTCATATTTTTGGAAACAACCATCATGCTACCTGGCCGTTCCGTGCAAAGACCAGGCCGTGCCGAGTGCAACTATCTACAGCACGAGGGAACTCGGCAAGTGATCTGGTCTGTACTGTCTCCTACTTAAGGTGGTGACTGACTTGTAACATTTACTCGTAATGTAACATTCGCAGCGAGCATGTTACATTACACCACAACTGGTGAGGCGCATCGAATGCTCGTTTTGAACGCTCGGCTCGACTGTGCTCGTGTGTTCTCCATTCATTTCGTTCAATATGTCGGACGTGGAGGTTGTGTTATCTTTGTTCCATTTAATACGCTACTGTTATTTAAAGAACTCGCGAATGCTCGTTACGACGCCGCTCGACTGACTGACTTGTAATGTAACACTCAAAAGACCGACAACACGATGGAGCGCCCGCGAGCGTGAGCGGCTCGCATCGAGCGGCTCCGTTCGCTGTCTTCACTTGTGTAATGCTCGATTTGTAACACGTTACATTACAGGCAAATGTTACAAGTCAGTCGCCACCTGAAACCGTACGCCTCCAATGGCTGTGTTCAGTTTTTCCTTTCTTCTTGTTTACGTTGTATTCTTTCCTTGCACATTTGAACTTTTCCTCCTACATTTACGAGAAAGAGCTGTTGCACAATGTGTAATAAAGACAATGTTTTTAAACTTGGAAACTTTTCACTTTTTCTTATCTGTGAGAGCTTTCTTCACATTAACTTTACAAACGCTGAAGTACTTCTGATATTACAGATACTGTTAAACGTAACCAGGAAGGTAACTAGAATTGAGAACTAGGCATTTATGACAATCAAGAGGCAGCTTTAAAAAAATTCACTCTCTTCTTGCATTTCCCAGCGTTTCACGCACAAAAGTGTGAGGAACCTATTTTCTTAATATTTGAGGCAGAAACTTGGTGCATTGTACATTTGCTGAATAGTTACCTTAGCTTTCAGAGGATCGCAATTCTGATAAGTGGCATATATGATGAGACCCGTGTAACAGCTGATAGTTTTAATTATAAATATTCCAACTGAAAAAAAAATTAGTGACCTGAAACAGTGTTAAAAATATTTTATTTAGTCTTCACATTTTATGTTATTAGAACTGTCCCTGGATATTTTACATTGTCTGAAGTAGAGATAATTTTCCAATGTTATAAGTTGTCTCTTTCTTAAAGTAAACAAATAAACGAATATATAGAATATTTACAACATACTTAGACGTAACGTTAAAAAAATGCTTAATAATAAAAGTTGCAGACAGTATAACTACTTTAGGCAAAGGACAATAACTAGGGAACATTCTAACGTAATGACTATACGATGTTGTAAAAGTCCTTTGGAACTGCACCTCAGCATTTTATCTGCTTTGAAAATTTCAATATTATTGTGGTAAAGAAGTAAGCAGTTAGATTTTGAAGTTTAAAAAATTTCAATTTTTTACTGATGGTAATGTATTGTGTCGATTATTAATATTTAAAGACCAACGCCTTTGTATAATCAAATATAATTCTCAATCTGTTTCATTACCACAATGTAAATTAATTATTAATAATATGAGACGTTAAGAGAGCATTCTATTCTTAGGCATTTGTTATTGTGAAGTACATAAATGTACTTAACACCAGTTAAATAAAAAATTATAACCTTTTTAAGAAATGCGTCTAGAAATGAATAAGTGAGTGGGTAATGTTTTACGAGTCTACTCCTTTGTGAAAGTTGTATTCTTACGCTAGAAGCACAGTACATACTTTTTTGCTTCTGTGATACTTGGGAGCGCAAGGAACTTTTGGATCATTCCCTGGTTCACTGCACAGTAGTTCAGCCACGAAAATATGTTGCCGATTATGACGTTCCAAAACGTGGCTCTTACGAAAGGGCTCGGATCCATTCTGCATAGGAAGAAAGTTTAGTTACGGCCTACTACTCAGACAATGTCTAAACCTCAGAGAAGAAACTGCTTATGATTTTTGTTGTATGTTTACTCTGCCCAAACTACTTCATAAATTCTTATAAAAAATATATAATGAAATTCAATTCAATTCATTTATTTAAGTGTTTGCCAACAGCAAGAAGCCAATAACATAGAAACAATATTATAGACAAAGAAAAATAAATGAAGAAATATGAATAAAAGCAAATACTCCACTTTGGGAACACTAATATAAATGTAAAAAGTTAAAGAAATACAAAAAACAGATAACGAAGCTAGATCATCTTTGAGACACCTATCTAGATCATTTGCCTTGTTGAGAACGTTCGCTCAAGGGAGACAATGTTTATGCTAAATACGTCCAAAGATTTACATACGTCATTTGCAGCGAGGACACCATAACGATAATAATAATAGTGCCGATAAAACTAATAATCACAACATTGATCTATACGTATTTGGTACGCAGTTTTGTTCTTTAAAATAAAGTGAATTATATCTGAATACAATACTCCTGCCTGCCATACGATGTATTTTTAAACAGCGTAATATCAGATTGATCATAATTTTAATGATATTTCGTAAAGTGTTCTTAAAACGGGGATAACAAATTAACTACAAATCTAATATTTAAAATATACCGACAAAAATTTTATAGATAAAATCCAACACAACCTTTATGAAGATATAATAAACCCTTAAAACGTAAACGAATTATGCATTGAAAGTTTATCACGTTTGCTTAATGGGTCTATATTAAGCATCTTGATGCAATTTTAGGTTTTACTTTGAAATTACTATACCATAATTTTACCCGCCGTTTTGTGTTGGTGTGAAACGTGATGTTTGATAATGGGGTGCTGATGAGAATATTTGGAACCGAGGAGGATTAAGTGACACAGGACTGGAAAAAATGCCTAAGGAAGATGTCAATATTTATGAAGGACACGTAGCGCTCATATGGAGGATGAGAAATAAATATATACAATTTTTAATAGCCGGAAAGAAAGAGGCCACTCGGAAGACCTTAGCATAGATAGTAGACCATTTAAACTGAATGTTAAGAAAATAGGTTAGGAGGTATATATTTAATAACCCTCTAATGCAAAGGCTGCTTCAGTGTCCAGCACTTGGCTTAATCTTTATCTGGTTACTGTAGATTATGCTTTATAGTGATTTAATTAAAACTTACTCAAATATCAGTATCCTTCCACCCTCCGAACTCCTTTGCCATACAGTTCCGAGACCACCAACCTTGATCACCCCTATGATAATGATAGCTATGCTTGAGATTATAATGACAGATGACTGTAGGAAGTCGATCCAAATCACAGCTTTCAAACCACCCTGCCAAATAAATTAGATAGTAAGAACGAATAGCAGCCCAAAATGTGATTTATATACAGAGTGGCCATAAAGTCTGGAAACATAGACGAATGTACATAATAAATGGTTTATTGATGTTACATTACAATACGTTATATGTTAAGTGTGTTGTCCCTGATTAGCAATGCATAGTTCAATGCGCTGTGCAAAATCTGTAAAAAAAATATAACATAATATTATCTATGTTTCCAGACTTTATGGTCAGTCTGTAATATGCATGTTATGGTACAAATATAAAATTTATACGTACATGTCCATTCCTTAGATATGAATAAAGTGCAAAGGCTTAATTTTCCTACCTCGAAATTTCGAGGTAAGTTTTGAAGAAGCTGTGCTTTATTAAACATGAACTGTTATTTGTCCAGCATACATTACGCATGTTGAGATGCATAGCAGAATCTAGCACAATGTTTTGTTATTTTCTATATAGTTCTAATTGATATAATAGAGAGGGAGTGGGTACTTTATTATCGTCACAAAGGAAAGAATTTGAAGCATTTCTTTGTATAAATTTATATTACACAAGGTGAATTATTTGTGTGCTGTATGCAGTGTTCTGAACTTCGGTTGCTGTAGGAATAGACATATTCTTTGTTAATTGATTATTTTTTGGTTTTTCTTTTGTATCCTTATTTTTGAAAATGAATAGTGGAGACGCTAGTTTGTCATTGCACGTTTGGATGAATGAATTCAGACTATAATTCAATATATTCAATGCAAAAAATTTCAGTCGCAGTGCTGGTTGGTGGGATGCAAGTTACTTGGAACTTTCTACATTTTCAATAATGGCCAGATATAAGCTAATTATATTAACTGTATGATGTAGATTATATTCTTGTTTTATAATATATTATCTATAAGTTATTAAAACTATGAAATGTAAGAAATTTATCAGAATTATTAGTTTAGACATAATTCAACCCATTTACTGTCGTCAGTACAATTTAGCTGAAACAAAGCTCTTAATTTAAATTAGAATATCGCATACGTAAATTTACAGAATGAATAACTCTAGTAGCAAATTCAATCTTATCTGATGTCACTGATATTTGCGTCTATTCAGCAACAATGGAATTATATATTTGCATATTTTCTGCATTCACTGACACTGTTACTTTAAGTTACTAATCTCTACAAGTCGCATTTTTCATGGTGACCCCAGTTTATAAATAAATATGAAATTACTTTATAATGCTGTGAGTATGTTTTGTCAATTAGTAAATCTCTATTTACAGTCTGACAGTTTCTATTTCTCTTCTTATGAAAACCATTATCTTTGCAGGCTTTAAAATGTAAAATGCGTTTTACTATTGTTGTTTTAATTCGATGTTTGACTTTTGTTCATTAACCGGCTTTGTCTAGACTTACCAGCATTGTGTAGAATATACAAATAATGGACACCAGTGGGGTGATCATATGAATACTCAGGCCGCTAACTGGAAAGAAAAAAAAATTAAATTTTCGAAATCTCCCTAAAATTAAAATTTATGCCAAGGAAACGTAAGGAGAACAAACATGACAAATTCGTAGTCTTAAGACATGTCTGTATTTTAATGATTATTATTAATATTTTCTGAAATATGTTTTCTAATTAATGTGTGCCGATGTACTTTATAACAATACAGATTCAGGTTACGTGCATAACTGTTAAACAGTTTGAAGGTATGACATTCCAGTAACGCACATTTTGTTTTCGTCTCCGACCGGGCTTTCCTAAAATATGAACCTTTTATTTTTACTAATTTAATGGATAACCGGTATATGCGCATTTGTATGAAAATGCATTATACTGATCAGGTTATTTTAACTAAAATTAAGAACTTCACGAAAGTCATTGTCGATATCCTATATTAATCGTGGCAGTATTAACGCAAATAAGGAAGGAAACAAGTGACGTCAGATCAAGCAGACTGAAGAAAGAATTGACTGATTAATTGATATTGGCTAACAATTATGAATACCATTTAGATAAGTATTTATAATTGTTATTTACAATAAAATATGAAGCAATGTGAATGTTTATTTTATAAATGCAGTGATTATTAAAACCTTGCGAAGCTACAAGTTTTTTCCAATGCTAAGGGAGACAGCCGACGAGCAATAATGCGTGTTCTGCTGTATGTTCTGTAACCTCGTATCTTTTGAAAACGGCAAGCTTTCATTGTGTTGGTTGGCACAATTCATGAACCGACTATTGTGTGTGCACAAAAGGCGCTTCGATAATGAAACCCTGCCTGTAACTTGCGAGGCAGAAACCGATTTCGATACGTGACAACAGACAAATTGTCCACCTTTTGGATTGGAAGTATTGTATAAAATATTAACAAACACCATGAATAGAAATCTACACTTTTCTCGTTCTGTGCGTTTATTAAACATACGAATATAGATGCATATGATTCAGATATTTTTATTTTTACAAAACTCTGTTGTAGGTTATATTGTGAATTTAATCAGATCTCCATGTATAGTGGGTCCCTGTCATCGCGGCATGGCGCGTCCTGAGGTGGATTGAGGAACAGTCTCCAGTTAAGGAGGATTAGCTGCGAACATATTGAATAAGCAGACACGGACAACCAACGAGGGGTGGTCCTTCAGCTTGGGGGTTCGGCGTAAGGCTAACAACCTTTTACAAACTTTATTGTTACGAAAAAGTTAACCGTGCTTCGGAAGGATGATATTTGGGCCTAAGAGAGATGACGATGGAGTGTGGAGAAAACTGCATAATGATGAGCTTAAAAATCTGTACTCCTCCCCCAAACTTATTAGGGTGATTAAGACGAGAAGAATGGGATGGGCGGGACATGTAGCACGCATTGATGGGACAAGAGGTGTGCACCGGGTATTGGTTGGGAAGCCTGAGGGGAAGAGACCGCTGGGGAGACCTAGACGTAGATGGGAGGATAATCTCAGGCGGGATCTATGTAAGATAGGAGTTGAAGGAGACTGGATTTCGTTGGCCCAGGACAGGGTCCGGTGGAGGGCTTTGGTTAATTCGGTTATGAACCTTCGGGTTCCATAATCGGTTTATTTAGTTTATTTAATCAGATCTGCCTTTATCCTTTATTTACACTTTAAAATTATTTATTACTTAAGTCTTACAACAACTTGTATGAATAAAGTGAATATAATGTGTTCCTATAAAGCGTAAAATTGCAGGTTATTTATATGGTAAAATACATGAATATAATGTCAAATGTATTTCTTATTACACGATTTCCAGACATAAGCGAATATATAAGACTATTTCTGTAAGTTGTCAAGACTTCGAGCAGAACTGCCCATAGTGCCTTGTAGTTTGACTGTTTGTCAGTGTGTATAAATGAAAACATATTCCGTCGTGTTTTCGTGCTTTCACGTAAAAATAATAATTGAATTATTTTTTTTAATCGTAACTCTTGAGAATATGGACATCGAAAAGTAATCATTCTGGGGATTAGGGCGAGCCTACTGCAAATTTGTGAGTTTTGAAGTTAACACGGTGAGTGGGGTTGGTGATGATCTGGGTATTGACGTCTGTAACCTCGTCGGAAGATGCCAGAGATTTTTCAAATTCTGTATCTTCAGAACTATTGTAAATTTGGCTTGATGTTAAATGTTGTTCCTGGAGACTACTTGTATAATTATTTTATGGAGATTTCGTGTTGCAGAACGAAACACACTTAATTAAATATTTCTTACCGTAACTGAAGGCCAAAGCAGGTACGTAGATAACTAGTGGAACGTAAAGTAACATTGAGACAGTGAAAAGGACAGATGCCATTACACGGACACTTCTGTTGAAACGTAACTGAAGGTACTGAAATAAAATGCATTAACCATTAATACAAATAAAGTAATGTATTTTTTTATGTGTAAGCTCAAGTTTTCTTTACAGACACTCACGTTAATTAAAAATTCTAATTTTAGTTCTATTTATGTTTAAGAATAATATTATTGAAATGTTTTGCAGATTTACTATCACTGATACAGCATACAATAATTAATTTTTAATCTGGGGCATTGAAACAACAGATTTATGATACTGTAGTCGGTAATAATGAATTAAATATGTTTAACATCTATATCTCTTTTCAATGAGAGAGAAGGTGATCTCTATTTGTTATTTAATGGTTTGATATGTGAAAATCAGTTACAGAAACACCATGCCGATTTGAAATATTTATATGGTATTAATTGTCAAGTAGAATATTTCAGTGCCATAAATTGCAACGCAGTGCTGCCAACTTTGTGATTCGCAAACCTGTAACTGGCAGTGAATTTTCATAGCACCGGTCCCTTGTATATAAATAAAATATAAATAACTGACTACAAATATAATTACTACAAGTATTCATAGAGATTTGTTTTTGTTTCTATATGATGAGAATACAATTTTAAAAGTTGAACATCGACAAGCTAAAGACATGTCAAATTACTGATTGTCAGATAAATGTTTAATATGGGATGTAGAATAAATTAATTCACTTCACTCGTGAATAAAACCTTTACGAAAACACACAGATACTTTGTGCGTTATCTGTGAGGGAAACTCTTTAAGTATGTTCTGAACATTACACGCATTCAATGTAGGGACTATTTGTTACACGTACAATATCCAAAAGACAAGCTCCATTCATGCAGGCTGTATTATGTAAACGTCAATTGTTGCATTAGCAGCTGCAATTCTGTCTTCAAATCGTTGACGTCGGACACCGGAGTTGGTTACATAGTCTACTACATTCTCCATAGGAGAAAATCACAGAGTGTGATACCCGGCCGAGAGATTGGACAAGCAAGGCCGATCCATAGGTTTTGGAAATGCAAAATTCTGATTATGAGATGCACGAAACGTTAAGAATTTCTGTTGCAAATGACGCCCAGTGTGTTTACGTCCTTTCACAAATGGTTTTCAGGGAGTAAATTTTCAAAGATAATTTATATACACTCTGCACAATCATATGTATTAAATTTTTTACAGAAATTGAAAGTATATACACTCTGCACAATCATATGTATCAAATTTATTACAGAAATTGAAACAGAAAATAATTGCACTTAAAACCTGATCCTCGCATTTCTTTTGCATTGTAACTTGTTTTGATGAGAAATAGTTTTACATTTATTATTTGAAAAGTTCAGGTATTGCAGTATTAATTTCGTTTACTTGAATTTCTGTTCTATTAAGCGGTATTTTTGTGAGGTAATATAATACACTAATTTATGTTTATGTCTGGTATCAACGAATCCTTGTGTGACATATTAGTTGCGTTGACAGTCGTAACTTACTTCGTACGATGACGTTAATTGGAGATTGTAGAAGACGGGGAGATAGATGTAGTTAATAATGACAGCGACAATAATGGAAGACACATTGACCAGCCAATAAAGTGTTCCGTGGTAGTACACTTCAGCTGGAACACCCATCAGTGTGATTCCTGAAAAATGGCTGCAAGGGAACACAATTGCTTTTTGTTTATCCAGTCCAAAGACTTTCTTTTGGGTACGAAATCGGCGTCTAAAAATTCAAAACTCTATGTGATTTGTAACAGGCTATGTTGGCTTACGGGCGAGACGTGCCTCTTTATTTTAATTATGCACATCTGTTTATTTTCACTATCATGTTGATTTTGTTTATTGTCAAAATTTAAGTACTTCATGGTTTATTCGTTATATTACTTATAATTTATTCGCATCTGAAAAGCCTTATTGTTTCATATAATGGGCAAGACATTTCAAAGCTATAGTGTGCTTCGGTCTTAAAGAATAGTTTGATGTTGATTGGTTCCAAGAAATAAGAAAGTATTTAAATTTTTCCAGCTTTTGTCATTGCCAATCCTTTCATTTTGATATTTTACGTAATTATGACTAGATTTTAAATTGTTTACATTTAGAATACTTTGTTATAGATGACATCTCAATGATTTATTTATTTTAAAGTTTTATGGGCAAAATAAACTGTAATTGCATCACGGTTACCCGTTATTTGTGTGCCTAGGAGAAAAATAAGATTATTAAGATTTAGCCGGTGTTGGAAATTACTTTAAAATTTTTGAAAATTTGGCAAAAACTTGGAAAAATCTTGCTTCATTCCGTTTCTTTTAGTTTATTTCTATTAGTGCTGTATTTGCTGCCTCCATCATCAGGGGGATTATGATGGAGACGCGACAACACAGAAAACAGCTATCTTCAAACTTACAACCTTGAAAATCTCAAATTCTTCTTAGTGTTGCCTGTTAAAGGCCCTTCGCTATTTCATGGACACTAATAAATTAATTGAATTAATACGGACATGATGCCTAAACTCTGCGATTTTCTATGTGGTAGTATGCATTTTGAAACGAATTCGTACGTTACCACAACCAATTAAAAATACACCCATATTAAACTTAAATAGTAAATATATACTAAGTACATCAAAAACTTTCACTTTTATTAATTTCTCAATTATCACTTACCCGTTTTAGCAATTTCTTTATTTCCCATGTGGTTAGCTTAAACAAAACTGGATTAAGAACCATATAATTAATATCTAAACATCGCCTAGGGCCGAATTTATTCTTTTCGCGAGCGTCTATCCATCATTCACAGGTTCTGAATTATGACTCTCTGCTTACTCGTACTAACGTACTCATTATTTACACAAATCTGAAACTAACCTTGCTACAAGAGACACGGCCACTGGTAGCGTTTTCATGGTTTTCCCCCCGAATAGATAATCTACACGGCTTTCTTGTTTCTTGTCACAAAATCCAAAGTAAACCCCAATAAGGGCCGAAAATCCAAGCATTAATCCAAAGATGGTGAAGTCCATCCAGCCGAAGTAGAGACGCGTCATCTCTCGTACCCCATCTTCTGAGTCTGTGATGTTCATGGCTTCTGGTCGATTTTGATGATTTTATGTTTAGAGGTATGTAATCAGTACTGCCAATTTATTATACTGATCTCCTATGGAACAGAGTATATACAATATTACATGAAAACAGGTTGAAAACGAAATTCTGTAGAGAGACAACTGCCTCTTATGCTGCCAGAATTAAAGACGTAAAGTCATAATTCTAAATACATAATACTATCTCATATCTAATAACCATTTACTGTCTAATAAATACGTTAGACGATTTTATTTGGTTATAAATGTTGTATTCTAGATCTCAGTTATCAGTCGTCAGTAAGGCCATAAGATTACCTCTTAAAGTTCCTTCGCCGTTGAACGTGCATTAGAGTACAAAGTAGTATGGACATTATGGAAGCTTCAAGCACCAGGTCTGATATTATAGAAAATTCAATTCTTTTTAACCGCTCAGATGATCTTAGACCACAGATATAAACAAGCACTGGTAGAATACTTACCCGAATCCACTTTCTTTACTAACACATTTTAATCAGATTGAATACGATTTGTTAAACCAAGAACTGTATTTGACTGTGTAGCCTACTGACTTTAAATACGTTCTTATTCAGCAGATCTTGGGCGCACACAAAATGGCTGAGAAAGGTAATGGATTAAGTAAGTGACACTGAGTTATAGTTTAAAAGAGCCATAGTTATATTTGGAGTAGACAAACAACCTTATCTATCAGTGACATAGTAAACTGCTAGTTCACAAACCATATTCAACCTAAGTGGGGATTGCGAAATTGGAAAGTATGCATGACTTTTAATATTTCATCTTACGAACTAACGCTTTAACTATAGATATAACCAGAGATAAATTACGTTTAATATACAGGACACAAATATAGATATAACCAGAGATAAATTACGTTTTATATACAGGACACAAATAATGTATGTACTCTTGTTTAAATGTGTATAAGTTATGTACATTAACACTTTGGCGAGGAATTCTTACTGTTTCTTTCTGTCCTTCAAATTAAATGCCTGAATGTGTAATGTCCTGTCACCTTTAAACTTTCTTACAAGTTCGTCTTGCATCATTCATGGGGATATATCCGCTATTAAATGGTGCAGATGACTTGTTAATGCGTCTTTTGGTTAGAAATTAAATAATGACTCTTTTGGATTCAGCTTGTAAGTGCTTATCTGTGTTAACACTTGGAATTCGTTTAATGTAATCGGGAAAACCTTGAATCCTTAAATTTTTTTGGACATATTCTAAATAGAAAATTTTATTTCAACGAGATTTGAGTAACTATGCTTAGGCTTACGTGTAAAGGTGTGTAACGTCAATACCATGCTTTAATTTTTCAGTCTGTGAAAAAATTATTCTAAAATATTTTCTTTTAAGAGTTTTTGCTGTGTACAAAATTTTATTGTAAGAATGTAAATAAATTATACGTAATATTTAAGTAGTTATATATAAAATTAAAATCTGAACACAGTTTGATACTGCATTGTAAATAAACACTAGTTTCCTGCAAATCTTTTCTTTAAAATTAGAAATAGCGTTACTTATTCATGTCATCGGAAACTCTTTTACGTATTTTAAAGAGATAATTATCATAAATAAGTTTTATAGTCTTTGTTACATAATTAATGTATGTGGTTGTAATGAAAAATCAGACGGTATATATATATATAGAATATATTGTCTCTTTACGCTTACGGCCAAGGTTGATGTTGTTTTTTATTGTGTGTGAGTGGATCAAAGAATTTCGAGAATGTTCTAAACCTCGTAATGCAGTATTATAATTCTCGGATTTAAAATTCCTGTGCCTTCATAAATAACGTATTTTTTTATAAATCAGGATATTCAAGGTTTTGTGTAAAAGATTCTTGTTTACTAGTTTACGATTAGTAAAAGACAATAACAAGTTCCAATCCTATTAGCACAGTCTTTCTATCTAGTCTGTGTATTAGTAGGGTTTTATTTCCACTGCACTAAACTACGTGATAGATTTTGTGAGCATTTTCTTCACTGACCTGTGAGCTTTGTAAATTTACCTTAAGGCGATTAACAGTAGGGTTTTATATTAATTTTATGTTCATCCAATTCTTTAGAATTCTAGCAGTATATTTACAAAATGGAAATACCTTTCTGGTATCGTGAGTCTTGAGATATAATACCTATAATATGAGACCAATTTCTAAATTATTATTAAAATTGATGAATTTTGGAAATGTCTAGATCAACAAACTATATGTATAAGGAAATGGCCTCTTAGAACGTTTAGAAATACTTGTTACAATGAACATTAACTTTCAACAAAAATTAATGCTTTTGTGCATAATTTAACATTTTAAGTAATTAAGTTATTTTCACATGTTTTTATGAGATAAGATACACTTATGTGTGTCATACGTAATGATTTGTTATGGTTTTTTATTATAACAAACTTTCACTATCGCTAAACGTAAGAAGATTCCACAATAAATTTAAAGGACTGGTGTAGAGAAATTGTGATATACAATGAAATAATTAACATTACATTCAAAATTCATTTATTGCATGCCTAACGGTCTTCATGTTTCAAGTTGAAACACTACATGAATTTCTTGCACACGATTATTTTGTAATGATTTACAAAGATAGTAAACCTACTTAGTACTGCTTTAAATCAAATTCATACTCATGTATATAAAACACTAATTTATTATTTCCAGTTATTATTATTACTATTTTAATTGCTTTATTATTTGGGTTAAGATGTTTAGGATGGGTTGAGTATAGAGCCTGTAGCATCTGATATGATCCATAAAAATCCAATCGCCACTGATTGCCTTGGACCTTACTAATGACATTCTGAAACGAAATTAATTTTACATTGCTAAAGAATTCATAGGGGTTATTCAGTATCGAAACATATTTGATGAAATTACCAACAAAAGACAGGAAAAATGCACTCTTGGGGCTGTATTAAAAAGGCATGTCCTATATACGCATGAAGCCTGTTTGCTGTAGAGATAAACTTCCATACAACGCGTTGTAAATCGATTGAACAAGACAGGTCGATGGCACGTGTGTTTTACAACAATTACAATGACGAAAACTTTGCGCGTGTTAATAAATAAATAATTTTATTGAACTCTGCTGGTTTTGTACATATATTTATAAGGAAATATATGTAGCTACACTAATATGGCAACTGGTCGTCAGGTCGTAACAAGCGACTAAGGGAGTCAGGCAGAGAGCACCATTACGTGACGGGAGTTTCGCACACAGTGGCGAAAAAGATAAATCAACTTTGATGTAAATAGGCCTATAAGTACAGAATCAAACTTTCCTATAGACACTGCAGTGATACACGACTAGGTAACAAGTTATTATGCTTACACATTCCATGAAACCACTGAGATGGAATACACGGAATATTTTATAATATTTCTGCATGACCATAACACTTTAACTTAAAAACAGATTAATTTGTATATTTAAGTAGAGAATATTAGTGTCATACAAACGTTTGATATAAAGGTATTTATTTTACTTATAAAATACGTAGATGTGATTATAATTTTAGTAGTTATATATTTATTGGATTAACAGAGCACAAAACATCAGATGGCTACAGTTTTTTCGAACATTTGCCGATGCCAGTTATTCTGAATTCGGATTTCGTAAATGTATGCTGTCCTCCATACATATTAGTGGGCGGTAACTTTAAATACTTGTAGTGGTTTCCGCTCTCAGATCTTTATGAACAATTCAGATATTTGACGCTGTTTAACGTAATTGGAGTTCGAAATTTTCTGACGATGGTGTGACACATTGTATTATATTTTTATCGTATCTGTCGTTAGGTTTTTAACCTATGCAGTTGGAACAGCATAACAAACCTCAAGAACAATACAAGCAAATTGTGAAAAAAATAGTTATTTATTTCAGGAGCACTGATTGTCAAGGAAAGTAAAATATATATATATACATACATACATACACATCTATGCATAAAACAATTGTTTTTTGTTTGTGTTCAATCCTTTTTGCAGAAAACGAAAATGCAATACAAAAGTAATTTATATTAGAATAATCTAATATATAATTAATACTTAATTTGGAAGATAACATAGGTAATTTGTTACTACCTGTCAAAGGTTTATGATGCCGTGTAGCCTTGTAGATTTTCACCAACATTTCACCGCGAAGAGAACCTAAAATCTCAGATTTTGCTTATGTCTGACTTTTAGAGTCAACATTTTTATTTTTTGTTACATGCTTAAAGTTTGTGTACTTCTTTATGGTTCCTTAAAGACGATGAGAATAGCCCAAATTGCATACCGTGACAGGACGAGATTGTTAATAAATAATTAATTGTAAACAATGAAGATTAAATTTGTGGTGACTTATTTTAAGATACGGCATTTGCTTGAAGAATATGAGGAAACCACAAAAGTCTAATTCACGATAGACAGTCTACGTGACGAAGTTTGAAATTAGGGTCTCTCGTATAGGGAGATAAATACTCGGACTCGGAGGTAGGTGTTAGTCCAGTACATAAGAGTCGACTATAATTGTCATCTTTCAAGGTTAAGAAGACAGTGTTATTTAGCTGAAACTTGAAGGCTTTAATGGAATTAATCAGGAACTTTGTAAGACACAATCTTTGCATTCTACGGGTTTGACGAACGGCTAAGATCTATCTTTAGAACATTAACATCATTGTGAATTTATTTAATTTCCAATTACTAGCATGTCATCATGAATAATAATTAACTACACATTCCGAGTCGTGATTTAAATGCAATTCTTATAGACACTGCGGCTTTAAAAACAACTTACATTTCAATTTATATCTTAATTGCGTCATGCTTGTGTTCTTCAATACAATAATTTTATTCACCGTCTTTACACAAGCTTATAGATTGTTAAAATCACATAAAATTATAACATTTCAACATATGATATTGTTACATTTTAAAATGACGACATGTTTCGATGTTCATTCCATCATCGTCAGGTCTATCAATCAAAATTAAAAACTGTTGCATCTGCTGCTCTGCGTATACTGATTTTGTTCTACCCGTTAGATTTTATTTGTTTAACCTCCAGGCTTCTTCCATTTAATTTTGAAGGCTGCGCCTGGATGCCTTAAATC